ACTTTGAAAAATTAGAGTCACATACATTGTATACTGAACGTCTTTTTCCCCCAAAATTGATTTTAGAGTTGCAAGTGGACGGCGGCACAGTCTCAATAACAAATGGCATTGGCCTTTTCGTGCAACAAGTTAAGGGCTATGTTTCATTTTGTTGTATTTTATATTGTGAAGCAGTTCTGTAAAAAACGAATTGGATTCATTTTGTTTCTTGCTTGGTCAAGGCTAAAGGGCGTAACGTGCTAACGTTGATTTAGTTGTATTCAGTCTCTATCCCCCCAAGAAATCGCCAGGAGTCGAAGAAATAATGAAGAGGATTATTGTTGGCCGCACCAAACTACTTGTCTTACCTCTGCACGTGTTGTAGGCTACAGAGTTCGCTTTGAGATGGATGGCAGGATCTTTATGCTTACATCAGTCCACATGGAAAAGGCACTTCTCCCTAAGTTCGTTAAGAAAACACATTAGAGTAGCGACTTATCCTTTCTTTGCACGCACGAGTTCACATTCAGGGGTGTTACTGTGAAAAGTGGCCGTTGCCGATTGCCACATGTGGGATTAGGTACAGTAATCTGGCTCTCAATTGTCTTGTCACATTCAGTTAGTGCTTGGCGTTTGCCTCAGTCGATATTCCATTTAAACACTTAGACTAAAAAGAGCACAATTTAAGATGTGGACCCAACGCAACGTTGAATTCTATTGATGTACATTTCATTTGAGTACCATTAGAATATAATGTGCCTACCCAGAGTGATACTAAGCTGGACCCCACCTGGAAAAAGAAAGACGGGAGGTCAGGTAATTACTTGGACATTTGACCAGGACCCGGCAGCAATGGGATGTGGAAGGACGGGGTGTCTCAGTACTTACGCCGATGGGAATGATGGTGAGGAATGCCACGTCCAATTGTATCAAAATGCACTCTAACATTTTGGTGCTTAACAAGTCTCCAGTGTCACAGATGCTTAAGTGCTGCTGAAGGGGTGGCAGGCTTCTGACGAACCTTTCCATCGTTTTCTACTGTATCTAGATACGGTAGTGTAGACCCAGGTGTGTGTACCTTCTCTTATCTCTGGCGAACAAGAGTTATAAATGGCAAGTACAAAATTAGATTGTGATGGCAACTGCGTGGCTAGAATACCTTGCGGGTGTGCTATACAACAAGTGGAACGAATCAAATGCACATCACCGTCACAAAACGTGTTAAATCTGACACAAGACCTAGATTGAGACTACGTATTCTTCATGTACTGGTCAAAACGTGGAGTGATTCCTTGGGAGGGCGCATGTACAATCCACTTTCAGCTAGTTTCCCGTCCAAAATCCCGTTAAAAGTAATGAAAACAACATCACTACATGTATTACCTGAATAGAAACACTGATGGTCCTTTCCCTTACAGGATTCAATCAACACGAAGGTTAAAGATCGAGAAGGAGATAATAATGGCCAAAATAAAGACCCATGAACACCGCAAAATGAAATATCATTACATAAGTCCTATAGTTCGCGGTTACAGGCTGTTACTTAATATTAAATCTTTATTTATGGCATGTCGCTAGCATCTAGAAGAAGGTGGTACTTTTAACTACGAGTATCAGCTATTACCACCAACAGGCTAACGTTACCCTTAGCCCACGCTAATGTTTGTGTGACTGTGCACCAAATGTCATTGCCAATAATACAGAATCCGGCTCTGACAAACTCGCATGTAAATGTGTGAGACATGGGTTCTCAGAAAGCAGACAGGGAAAAGCTACTGTGGCTTACATGGAGACAAATGTGGCCTGAAATAAACTCTTCTGCCTCGTTACTGTGTCCATATTCCATCAGTCTAAAGTCATTTCCACACCAAAATTACCGGCAAATATTGTTCGCTGTGTATAGTCATTGGTGATTACATGTATAATGCTCAATGCTCATGTAGGATAAAGACCTTTGTAAGACAGTTCATTATGAAAACCGCTTACATAATACGACACGTTGGGGACTTATGTAATGAATCTGGTGAAGTGTCGTATTCATTGCCTATCGATCAGGAGAGGTATTCACGCATCTTTGCATGCCTCACGTACATCGCAAATGTCAAATCAATCTAGCTCAAGTTTCAGTAAGACGATCTTGCTGTTTCTGCTGAGTTGATGTTTGCATTGTTCTCGTCTTCAATGACACATTGTCACTTGTAACTTTTGACATTTTGACGAAATGCTGTTAAACCATTGCAAATAAATCACATTTGTTGCGGATCCCCTGGTAATCGTAATTACAATTCCAGAGTTTATTGCGCAGTCACAAGGGCATTGGTTACGCAAAAACACCATCATGCTTCCTGGGCAACGGGGATTCTGACTGAAGCATGCCTAATTTAGGAAATCATATTCTAATGGCAGTAACCGCCTTACTAATGCCGGCGAATCCTTCCCAGCAGTTTTCTTTTGCGCGCATCACACCTGGATACTGTGGTGTGACAAGATAACATACTCGTACACGTACCTTACGTATTCCATTACCGTGCTAAAGGACTTTAGGATTACAGCTTTTGTGTGCCTGTGATAATAAACTATCCAACCGCTTACTTTCAAACCCCAAATCTTCTACATGGAGCCGTCCTTTTTCATTTTCAATTCATCTGATGACGCATCAAAGGCACTGGAGCACATTGCCCTTGTATTGTGGGCGTGGGGAGCTATGCGAAACACGTGCTTCTTACTGACAGTGCTCATAGCGACTCTACAATTCTGATGTGGGAGTGTAGAGTAGTAGCGGGACGCGCTACGAATATGCACGTCAGACAACACTCTGTGAATGCTAGCGCTGAGGAAAGGGCACCTGCGTGTGCTTGATATGCAGATATCCAACATTCAAGTCGTAATGACACTTCCGGCTACTTTAACTAAAGTGCTGTTTTAAAAAGTGTTTTTACAAAACCCGCACTAAAGGTTTGATCCCTTGTCATTAAAGGTCAATTAGTTAGCTGGCGTCAAATTGGAGACAAGATAAGAGAAAATGGACATCAGATGATATCTCTACGGAAAGAACGTCATCATGGGCGGCTGGGCAGAATGGATTACCAGTATACAGACCGGCAGGTGGTTCTTCAGTTCACTTATTGAAAACAGCGTATTACGATAGAAAGGTAAGGTGCGTCACGTAACGTGGTGATTTTGTAGATTTCATCCACCGAATGAAATCAAAACTCGTACAACGAGAACCGGGTGGCAGGTTTAAGGCTGTGGAATGTCGTAATCCTCCCCGGAACATTCGTGACAGCTTCCGATGGCAGCTTCCGGGATGTTAGTAATAGAAGCCGTCCTTGAGTACTTGAGTATTTGAGGTGACTCAGTAGCACATTAAGTAACCTTCTCTTACCCTTTTAAAGGCTTCAGTATTCAATTTCCAGAAAGCAAAGAGAGTGATGTGTAAATGTTAGAATTCACTCAAAGTGAAACAGCTGGCACAGTGTTGTGGTGTTTATAATAGAAGGTATCGGAAATGGGACCTAGATATCCAACACCATAATACGCTGACATTTCGACGAATTTCGACGAAAGGCTAATGTTTATTTTGAGGACTTCGGTGCTTTTTTTATCATATCAGTCACAGAAATCCAGATTAGAATAGGATTTCGATTCCTTGTAATCCCATTAACACACAGAAGTAAAAGGGTTTTTTTTCTTTGATTCAATGTGTCTGTCAAATGTAACCAATGCTGTTGACCCCTACCCCAGTAGGTCATGCAGTGCACCGGTATTCCCCCTGAACTAACAAGGTGGTTAGTAATCGTCACAATGGTATGGTCTGGCAGCATTTAACGATTCAAGGCTGGGCACAGACAGAGACCTAGCCGACCTTGGTGCTGAAATAGTGGTTGTGATTGCTTCTAAGGATTGGAAATACATTTATCTGGATATTTTACTTGTCTTGTGGACTAAAAATAAAATAATTCACTGTAAACTTCAGATAACATCTTCCAATGCTTCACATATAGATATAACTTAAGGGCCAAGGCTTCGTTTGGATGTTTTTATCAATAAATTTTCCCATCCAATAGCCTAGGACTAAATGTATGGAAGGTTAGTCTATAGTACTTAAGCATAATGGTTCAGAAAACGATGTACGTGGAGTCAATGTGCCTCAAACATGGCAACCATTGCCGTACATCACGTTCCCAGGAGGCTGTACAGGACACTGATGTATTGGAAAATACCCGTCAACTAACTCTTCCTGCCAAGCCGTAACCGTTGATAACTTGATTTACGTCCCGTGCAGATGACACAGCCTGCTGCCGTATGTTTACTTACATTTTTCAATTCAAAAAGCGAAGCCTTGGCTGCTTTCTGATGGAAGACATCGCTCTTACAGGCCTGGTGTATAAAGCGTCTGGACAAGACTATCCATCATACATGGGGTAATGGCCATGCTGAGACTATTAGTGGCTTCATGATCTGCTGTAAGAGTACTTTACAGCTGAGTTCGCACGTCGTGGCTACCAAGTCTTTTATTATTTATGACAGAGTATCACATACACTGGTAATTACATCATGCTCGGTGGAATCCGTAATAGTACCATAGCTCCCCATGGCAGCACAGGGCCAGACTTACCTGAAAATGGGTAATGATTAAGGCTCACGTGTAGATGAGCTGAACTGTTGGCGACCATTTTTCGCAGCGGACCAGCAGTGTATCAGTTGACGATGATGTGTACCAAGATTATATGTAATACAGGACGAATTACTTTTCATTGCATAATGAATTGTCATTCAGATTATATCGACTTTTGAAAGATACTAATATTCATACTTTTTACAGCATAATGATATCTATATGGAAAAAACACACAATGACATGCAAAAATTGCGATAATATTTTGATCTATGCCTGCACGTGCGTCTGTAGGATAAATTGATAAACATGTCCTGTGGGAACGTATGATCTGCATCATGTCCCGTGGCTACGACTATTCTAACGTTCTCACACACTCCCTACCAAGTGAAAAGTCCCTTACCGTTATAATTGTATGTAGTAGGTGTTCTCAATACAGCGAATCCTGACTCCTCCACGGTTGACGACCGTCGGTGCGTCCGTTTGCCGGCTGCCAGAAGCTTCTACAGTCTGCTCGGCAGTAGCTGGAGCGCTCTGAAACGGTGGGCGGGGTTTCTCATTTAAAACAGACTGCTGAGCCAATCACAGCTTCGCAGACGGCATAAGAAACCTACAGAAGGTGTCAATCAAATACCTTACCTAAGGCTTAGTATGTTATTGTCTTCACGCTAAAATAAAGTATGCAAGCAAGCTGAAAACTGAATATCAAGCTAACAGGGACTGTTAAATTAATAGTTCGACATTCTTCGGTGATTTCTTTCTGATGATTAGGCAGAGGTTCGATTTACACAGAACATATTATGACTGATGTAAGTTCGCGGCGTGTTAACCTTGCCTGTTTTATTATCATCATCACACCACCATTTTTTTATCTAAATTCCAAACTAGACGCGTGGTTCCCATGGAAATGTAAATTGTGTAGTGAGAGCGGGAGAGACACGTTTCAATAAAATTCTGTTACGCTGGCATCTTGTTCTGGTTTGGGTAATTAAATTTACATAGCATTTTGTGGTGAATTTGTGTAGTGCTTTTACCAAAGCTAAATATTTCATTCATATAACTGGCAAGGGTGCTGAATGTGCCATTATGGCTTTTTATCTTTCCCCTGCATATCCTATTTTACTGTAATATGTTCATTTTATTGTTCTTCTCTTTGATTATATGTGAATAAATAAACAAACAAACAAACAAAATGTCTTCAGATTTGGAGAGTAAACAAGTGAGTGCAGGGACGGTTTCCGTGTTACATACATTAGATACAAAGTCTTAAACAATCTCGGAGCTAGGGGTAACCAGGGCCAACTGGAGGCCCTATGTATAACATACTAGTAGAAAACAAGACGTTTTGTCCATACCAGGGGTCACTGCTTAACAAGGCCGGAGGGTCCCAGTTACGTGAAAGACTGAAACATCACCTCTTTTCCTTAAGTCAGAAACGTAAAAGTCTTGCACGGAGAGTGGCGAGAAGGAGGGTACAAACGCTGGTCATGAATAGTCTCAGCTAAGTGCTTCCCTGAAGCTTAACACTTCTAAGTGCACCTGACAGAATCTTAAAATGTTCTTTACCATCGATCGATCCCCAAAACAACTACGGTTCGCAGGTTTTTGGTCCAGTAACCGGAAACACAGCATTTGCCGCTTGGCTTTTATCCTCATGAAAGAAAACACAGCGCTACAATCAAAACGGACGGACAAGACAGTTACAAAGAGCTAGCTGCAGGGCGTAGCAACTGAAACAACAGCCCATGCAGTAAAACGACTCTGAAGCTTTGGAGTTTTACTTCATGTCCCGGTTCCGTCAAAACAACCGACACTTCAAGGAGCAATCATATTTACAACAGGAAGCGAAAATGATGTTACTAGGGTCATTGGTATTTTGTCAAAGAAAGGCATGAATCTTGATCAATTGCACAAAGGTCAAGGACGCTTTTCTTTCCGAGTCATACCGCTCAATACATACGTCACAGTAACAAGCAACACGCTGAGTTATCTGCCTATTCCAATTTGGTCATATTTTCACCGTGGAGATTTGGTATATCTAATATGCATGTACATATTTTCATCACCTGCAGATTGTTTTGCAGGGTCGGACAGGTAAACGGTAACGCAACATTTTTCCTAGGCCCTAGCTCTCAGAAACAAAACACAATCAAGGCGGTCACAACTACAAGCACAGAATCTATCTGTATATCCGGTATAACCACCCTTCGGTGTAAAATACTATTAGCATCTACATTCGTATCTACAAATTGGTCATATTTTCACCGTGGTGATTTGATCCACATACATAATTTCATAATCTGTTGCAGTATATAACATGGGTCGTGCCTTGTACATAAATTATATTTACGATAGACAGAAGGTTACGTATACGATAGAATGGAAACCCAAACAGGACAGGGCAAGACTGTATGAAGAAAGCGAAGGATAAGGAGATGCAAGCTTACACCTACAATACTGTAATACAGCGAAGATTGTAATTCAATGTTATTACCACAACTTACCTAGAAAGGCAAGGATGCTTTAGTTTATTGACTGCTATTACGCGGGTTAGTAATGTTATGTTGGTTTGCCCTCTTTCCATCCGTGCGAGGGGCAAAACAAGACTTTTGAATTTGATTCCATGATTTTCCCTGAGTAATGGCTAGCTGTGTCATGATAAAGTCAGCAGGCGGCATCATTTGCAAATCAATCATTTTATAGTATGTTAAAACCTGTGACGGTACTGATTATTCAATACACGCATTTACACATTTTTAATACGCATTTTATACATTGAAATGCGACGAATTATAACCATTTTCGCATCGTAACACGTAGTCTTTGTTCACTTACTCTACTTTATAACTGTGTGGGAGGACCTTGAATCAATAGCAATTTTCACTTTATAGTGTTGTGTGTTTGGATAAGAGTTATGTTTGATATTTGACCTTGAGATGCACAGGAAGGCGACGGTTTGTTCCCAAATCTGTACTCACGTTTCCAGTCCCAGCATGGTACTGTCATTTCACCCAGCTAGGTGCCTCGTTTTCTGCACTACATCCATCCAATGGCGGAAGATCTACATACATATCAGGCAGCTCCTCAGTACGTCCTGTGGCGAGCCAATTATGTTGAACTATACACAGTAGCTTATTTCCTGTCATTATTAGTCACCCCGCGAACAGTATATACAAGCTCTGCAGGATAATCAGCTCAGGCCAAGTGTCATTTCTTTCATCAAGCAAAAATGATATCCAGATGATATCTGGTGACCTAAACTCTTAAGGCTGTGACATATAAGTCCCCCGCTGTCTTCACTGTAATGGAGATTCTTACTTTAGGGTCTGTATACAAGTTTAAACACCATAGGTGTCAAAATACCAAAAGAGCCTTAATGACATGCTTCATGATCATGTAGACAGGAGAAGGGCTTCAACTTTGCTCAGGTACTTCCTCAGGAGCGCTATAAGTGATGTGTACGTACATGTAAAACTACAAGTGTTGTTTCTTTGTTTCGACATGTTTTAGTCACTTGTAATTACTGTGAATATGTACAATATGCATTCTAGACATGCGTTGTATTTGCAGCACGGTTACAGGGGTCAAAGGAAATTCTGATGCAGTGGTCGGACGGATTATTCTCCCTACATAAATAAATCAGCGAGGTCAGTCAGCCTGGATACAGGGTAAGGCATATTTACGTACAGGAAATTATAGTCGGGGAGCAGCTTAGTGTATCACACGTCTTAACAACTGTGTACGGTCAGACCGTTGACTTCTGCATGATTTTGTCGGCCCCAATCAATGCCGCCGATTAATTGATGTGAATGATACAGCTGCCCCTGCTCAACTCGTTCTATATCAAATTTTCGCTTTCTGTGGAACTACAGACGAGAGCGCTCAAAGGGTTTGGCGATAGCCGATGGAAATTCAATAGTACAGAACTAACGACATAGAAAAGAGCTTTGAAGTCGTTTTATCTTCTATCACGTTTGTGATCCGGCAGCGATGACTGACGTGCATTTAAGTAGAAGTGATGGCGTAGTATAACATTCGTTTGAGTCCTGCCTTTTCTTAAGTGACAGTACATTGTGACGCCTCCTCTCATCGGTTTGTTTTCAAAAGTGCACCTTTTTTGCATGAATGGAGAATATTATCTCGATAACACTGCACTTGTCTTTGCTGGCGTTTGTGATTTTGCAGCCCCTTGCACTGTTGTACTTTCTTCTTTGTGCGCGTTCGCCATGGATGATCCACATGTTTGCACGTAGATGTTACACCCATGCGTCTCTTATTCAAACCGATCTATCTTTTGTTCCGATCCACCCACGCAAGATTAACCAGGTCATTTGCCAAGGATTATCGTGGATTACCTATAAGTATTGCGTCATTACAGCGTCCCTAACGTAAGTGGGGAATGGAGTCTTAATCCCTAAATCTCCCCTCACGTCTACAGACGTGGAATTGGGAATGAAGGTTGCCGTTGCGTGACTCGCCACGGACCAATGGGAGACCACCCAACTTACATTTTTCCGGGCTTATATTATAGAGATTATCTATAATCCTAACAATTATGTCAATCAGTCGACTGTAATCAGTGAAACCCGTGGGGTATCGTCTTTTTTTTAAGACTGATATGCAGAATCAACCCAACATAGTTTCCAAATTCACATCCAGAGCTTGCAGTAGCGCAGAAGGTCTAGGTTGAAATTTGCGGTTTTCCCCTCATTAGCGGGGCGCGTACGAAGGACGTGGCTAGGATAAACTTGTCTTGGCCAAAAAGGATCTCTTACGGCATGATAACTTCAAAGCTTTTATCGAACTGTTCATCTGTATTGCGTTTACCATTTCGCCGAATATTCCTTATTTTCCCATTCATGGAAGTTCCGTCACCTGGATTTCCTGGACCCTATCGATTGATATCTCTTCTGGATAATCATGCTGGAAAATTAGTTTTCTATATGGTTAAAACATCCGTTTTCACTATAACATGTGTAAAAATGATGTAATAATCCGTCAGTCTTTTTTAAACCTGTTATCAAACTTTTCGCATCACCACTTGTGTAACTCTCCTCATCACCAAGGTTTCAGCACCAAGGACAGGCTCTCTCCGCAATATATCAGATCCTCCTACTTTAAAACTATATCTTACACCAGCTTGTATTTCATGATCGCTATCAATGCTGTGAAATATGCACAGCCAGTTGCCGACAAGCCGCGTGCCTATGAAGCTAGTCTGTTACGCCGAATACATGTACATGTACATGCAATAGCAACTTGTACTTTACCAACCGTATTTCTATTAGATTGTTTCATACAATTTCTGGAACAGTATATGGCTATTTATCTTACTACTGAATCTGTTGGCAGGTTCGTGACTTGCTTTAATCAGCGGGAGGATTGTGAGTTGATTGAATCTTCACATGGTGACGCTGGGCTGACATTTACTTGGTGAACGTGGGCTTCATTCTACTAGACTTGCTTCATAAGTCAAGATTTTCTC